CACATATCATCTGAATTCGTGGAATATGCCTAGTTTGTACTCGTTTTGAGTAAAAATACAGTTACTGATGCACCACAATTTGATATATACAAGTCAAAAAACACATATTATGATCATCTTTCTTCAAAATGTAGAGTTCGAATGTGATAAAAACGGGTACAAAAGTGATAATATTCCATATAATCTCGAAGATTCCACTAAATTTGAGGAGTTGAGGGGGTGGTTGTAATTATCCAAACAAGAGGGGGGGTTTCGTAATTTGACCATACCTCAGGGGGTGTTTGTAATTTACCCAATTGAAAATTATTGAGCCAACAAGACCAATAAGCCCATTTACAGACTTAAAGCCCAGCCCAAATTAAATAAAAAAAATGAAAAAGGAAAATTAAAATAAAATATACAGAAAAATGAAAAATAAAAAACGCACCAAAAAATTATGATAAAGGAAAGCTCTGGGCTCCCACGATAGAACTTCCGTCCACTGCTCTCCACTTTTTCTGATCTCACCAAAAAAAGGAAATTAAAAAAATTAAATCATAAGAACAAATTTTAGTAGGCAAAAAAAAAAAAAATTTAAATTACGTGGGTAATGTCACGCGCTTCATTTTGACGGGATCTCCAATAGGAGAGGAATCCTCGTCGGAGCCAATCGGAATCGAGAATATTCCGATACCGAGAAGAATCAGTAGCATCACCGTCAGCATTAATAGCATAAACAGCGCCGAAACCACCGTAGAGAATCTCTTCCCTTGATGCCGACGCCCACTCCACTTCGCCATTTTTTAATTGCTCGAGAAAAGAAAAGCTGAAAATTCAATCGAAGAATGAAAAATTGATAGGGACTAGATTGTAAATTTCAGGAGTTTTGAGAAGTTAGCTGCATGGGCTTTCAATGGGGGGAAGAAGAAGTTGAAAAGCAAAGGACTGAAAAAAACACGAAAGTGGGCTTCGTATTTGGACTAATTACGCGTGTTTTGAGCGTTGTGAGGGAGATGAGTGAAGGGCAAATCTGTCATTTCTTATAATTCATTATTTTCCGTCTTAAACTTGAATTTAAATGCAGTGGCAGTGGTTTAGTAGCAAATGGCAAACCTTTTTGTCCGGTGGGCAGCACCAAGTTTTGCACGTAGAGGTTTGACTTTTCATTTTCGTTGGTCAAACATATTTTGCCACCCTAGTACTAATAAATAATAATAAATAGAATTTCAAAATAAGATAGAGTAGAACCTCGATAAATTAATAACCTCGTTTAAATAATAGTTTTTGAATATGTTGTATTATTAACTCAATAATTTAATAATTCGCTAAATTAATAGAATTACTCTAGTCCCCATTGTATAAATTTATAAAGATTTAACTATATAGTAATTAGTTAGAGCTGACTTATCAGCTGTTTAAAATAAGCTTAGTCTAACAGGGAGGACCAAAATATATAAAACAAGAAAATCCATGGGCTTATTGTGTACAAAATATTCTTGTATTTGATGATGAGAAACAAGAACATAACACTGCAAAATATGTGGAACAAAGAATTTAAGTTACAATTTCACCCTTTCATAGTTGATTTAAACAAATACAACATTGAGGAACAAAAGGTACGAAATTTAGACCGGTTAAGGTGATTATTAAACCATAAAAACTGCCTATTAAATAACTAATTTACATACAAACTACAGCAGTAGCACTCTTCTTCACCGATCGAGAATTTTTTTATGCCAATGTGTTGTGCTTCCAAGTACGAAAAGAATTATCCGACTTATCCGACGCACATAAGCTGTATAAACGAGGGCAATAAACTGCATTCGTCATGTCCTCAGTCACTCCTTTGGTAAACCTGATAGATCAATTATATACATCACAAATCAGATACCAGAAATATGTAAAACAAGCAAATTCTACAAGCATCGCGTGCAACCTTTGCCACAAATAATATGTCGTGTGCAAATTGATGCATAAAATAGATAACATTGTACCACCGAGAGGTGTTTATTTTCATCTGTTCTGTAATATTCATACGCAAGATCGTAAACAAAACCAGACTAACGGCAAGAGTAACCACACTCCTTAATATACATCTTGCAATGGTCTTGCAAGGAGATAAATTTTTCATCGGGATCTATTCTCCGATAAACAATAGGCACACCCCAAAAGAAAATGCTACGTTACTGTTTCCTTAACTTCACTTTTTAGAGGTAAAATTGCTTTATCAAGAACGGTTTTCTAACTCTAAAGAACGACTATGAAATCGAAGAAGTAACACACGCATACTCTAATCTGTTCGGCTTTTTCGTAGAGGGATTCTGTAGCAATCAATCAGCAAAAAATCCACCCACTTCAAACAGTTTTCAGCTTCAGTTCCTACTTCCTAGGTACGTCACCATTTTACCAAGAAAGTCTGTTTTTTGCATTAGCTTCTAAGTTTACATTTGTTTACCCAGTGAAATCTCTATTCACGTATATTTTGCGTTTTTCTTCGTTGGTTTTGGATTTGATTCGAAGTCCTAGTTCGAGTAATCCTAGAGGTCCATCTTAACATCAAGCAACATAGTGAACCGCAAAATCGAGACCTAAATTACAGATAGATCGAAAGAATCATTCACATAGCAATTTTTTAATTACAGGTCCATCTTAACATCACGCAACGTAGTGAACCACAGAATCGAGACCTATATTACAGATTGATCGAAAGAATCATTCATATAGCAATTTTTCAATTACAGGTCCATCTTAACATCAAGCAACGTAGTGAACCACAGAATCGAGACCTAAGTTACAGATTGATCGAGAATCATTCACATAGCAATTTTTCGATTGCATCTTTAGATATGAATATGTACAATAGCAGAAAAATCACCTCTACAAAAAAACCCTAAAATAGCTCAAAAAGGAGTAAACCCTCATTTGAATACTTCAAATTGTACCCTAATCATCATAATTCATGACAGTCAAACGTATTGAAATTTGAACAGGAGTGTTTTTTTTAATTCGATTTCAAATCAAATGCAACCAAAAAAAAAATAATTACAGAACCGATCGGAGAAATTATTACCGCATTTTATCACGGCCGATGCGATTCGTTTCTTTCCTTCTCAATTTGCTGCTTCTGCTTCTCCACGAGCTTATCGAGCGCCGACTGCACCGCCTCACGCCCTCCGATGAGCAGCCGGGTTACGATTTCCGGGTCCTTTTCAAAGCGGGCATCCTCGAATTCCTTTCGGGCATTTTCCCTCAACACGTCACGCCACAGGACGCCTCGTGAATCGGGCCACACGAAGAACCCGGTCGCCCGGATGATGTCTCGGTACAGGCTCAACGCCTCGCGCCGAGTGCTGGTGAGTCGCTGCCGAGTTAGGAACTCGTTTTCGTCGTCATCGAGTTGGTGCTTCGTTTCGCTCTTGACCAGGTGTCGGTCGAATAGTTCGTCAATCGTGTCGGGTCCGTTGTGTAAGGAGCGGTCACGGAGATGTGGGAGGGATTCGGTGGCCCGTAGGCGGCGCACGGCGGCGCCGATTGTCCGGCAATTTTGTAGCTTGTAGATCATTTCGTTTTCCTTTTTTTTTTTTTTAAATAATTCGGAATTAAATTTATTTTAGTAAATCATTTTGGTTGTGTTAGGCCCGGGTTTGGGTTGAATTGACATGGGCCGGGTTTGGGTTGAATTAATATGGGCCGGGTCCATCCAGATAGGAATAATTGGTTTGATTTTGGGCTAAATCCAAAACCTAATATTTAGTCGATTCATTTTATAGTAAATATTTTTTTCACTAAAACTTCTGGTAATTCATACAGAAGCAGAAAGCAGCCTCCAATGGCGACGATCGCCTACTCAAACCGCCGCTTAAATTTCGCCTTACGTTTCCTTTCACCTCTCTGCAGAAACAACCTCAACTTCTGCACCTCATCTCCCGCCGCCGCCGACGACATCGTTTCAGTAGAGGAAACCGCCGATGGACCCCAAGTCCCATCCCCCGCCGCCGCCGCACTTTCCCCGGAAGAAACACTTGCCGCCGAAAAATTCTATTCCCTAATTAAAGACCACCACCGCAATAACCCCAACCTCCTCTTAAACCCTAAAACCCCCCTAAACCCCGACGCCGCTTTTCCCTCTCTCAATTTTGACTTCACAAACATCTCAACCACCCATTCCCCATCCCCCGCCGTCGTCCGCCACGTGATCGAGAAATGCGCCGCCCCACGCCACGGCATCCCCTTCCCCCAAACCCTCGCCTTCTTCAATTGGGCCACGTCAAAGCTTGAGTCTTCTCCTCCATCTCTAGACCTCTTCAACGAAATGATCGATCTCTCCGGCAAGGTACACCAATTCGACATTGCCTGGCATTTAATCAATTCGATGAAAGCCCGAAATGTTCAAATCCAGCTCGAAACTTTCTCGATCCTCATCCGCCGCTACATCCGAGCCGGAATGTCTGCAGAAGCAGTGCACACTTTTAACCGTATGCACGACTACGGATGCGAACCCGATCGGAAATCTTTCTCCATAGTCATCGGTATGCTGTGCAGAAAGAGACGCGCAACCGAAGCACAAGCCTTCTTCGATAGCTTGAAGGAAAAATTCGATCTTGATGTTGTTGTGTACACGAGCTTAATACATGGGTGGTGTCGTGCGAATAATATCACTGAAGCAGAGAGAGTGTTCGGAGAAATGAAGGCTGCCGAGATTAAACCTAGTGTCTATACTTACACTATTGTAATCGATGCATTGTGTAGATGCGGCCAAGTTACGCGCGCACACGACGTGTTCGCTGAAATGCTCGATATAGGGTGTGCCCCAAATTCGGTCACTTTCAACAATCTGATGCGTGTTCATGTTAAGGCTGGGAGGACCGAAAAGGTGCTGCAGGTGTACAATCAAATGAAGAGGCTGTCTTGCGAGCCGGATGTTATTACGTACAACTTTCTGATTGAAGCTCATTGTAAGGACAAGAATCGAGACGAGGCAATTAAGGTTCTTACATCGATGATCAAGAAACGGTGTGAACCTAATACATCGAGTTTCAATCCGATATTTAAGTGCATAGCTCAAGACCAAGATGTAAATGCTGCCCACCGGTTATTCGATAAGATGAAGGAGGCTAAGTGTACACCTAACACGGTGACGTACAACGTGCTGATGCAGATGTTTTCTCTGTCGAAGTCGATCGATATGGTGATCAAGCTTTGGAAAGAGATGGGTGAGAACGAGGTCGAGCCTAATGTGAACACGTACAAGATTCTTATTACAATGTACTGTCTGATGGGGCATTGGAACAACGCGTACAAGTACTTTAAGGAGATGGTTGAGGAGAAGTGTTTGAAACCTAGTCCGAAGATGTACGAAATGGTTATGCAGCAGCTGAGAAAAGCAGGGCAGCTTAAGAAGAACGAGGAATTGATGGAGAAGATGGTCGATCGGGGGTTTGTAACTCGGCCTCTGTAGCAAACGACACCCTGCATCTCGAATTCTCCGATTGGCTTAGCGCCGTTTTTGTTATTTCATTTTTCTAAACATCGTATTCTTGAAGCATGATTAGCTTGTCTGTAATCTCGTTTCGTTAAAATGTTTGAAGGTATTTAATGTTGAAGCTTGAATATCGAATTTGAAAAACAAAAAGTATTTCACACTTACGATTCGAGGATGATAAGTTATTACAACATAAGTAAACTATCATCTCGAAGAACAATGGGGAAATAAATCGAGAAATTAACGCCCTTGCATATCGAGGGTCTCGTCGAAACGCTTCAATCTCTCTAATCCATCACTAATCAGAAACCTAATCCTCTGTTTGTCTTTGCAATCTTTGTTCTGTACCACCTCTTGTCTGATCATCTGTCTCACTTCATCTGAAACCCAGAAAAAATTTAATCTTGAAAAACAATATATATATATATATATATATATATATATATATATATATATATATATATATATATATATATATATATATACATAGTTACATATATGTATTTATACAAGAAACATACATATAAAAACCCATGAATTGCATTCTAATGGAATAACATAAAAATAACTGAAGAACATAGTAAAGCTAGCAAGACCACAACTAACTAAATTGGGGAAGATATTTTTTCAAGCAAAGTTCAAATCTTTACCAAATTAAGATGAAAATTAACCCAAAAAAAAACAGAAATGGATCGAGAATAAAGGGGTATAGTAGAAATTCAGCAATTAAAAGTGCACAAAAATCATAAATACTAATGCCAGGCACAAAATTGAAACAGCCAGAATTTGAAGGTACAGTGAAAAGAGGGGTCACCTTTAGAATCAGGGGGAGATCTGCGTGAAATCCGGAGTGCTTGTCTGTAGAGCTTCAGTACCCTAGCTCGGAGAAGGAAGTCCTGCAAATCCAACGCCAAAACCATCACTTCTCTCTCCTCTTCCTCTCTCTCTCTCTCTCTCTCTCTCTCTCTCTCTCTCTCTGGTTTCTTACTTTCAATCGGCTCTCTCTCTGGTTTCTTACTTTCAATCGGCACTTCCCAAAAAATAATCTTTGGGTCCAGTGGGCTGCGAAAATAGTAAAGCCCATAGAGAGTGTAAATAAACTCTCCATTGCCTCTCATGATTGGTCGGGTCGGGTTGGGTCCACTCCGCTTAGAGTCTAAATTAGGCGTATGAACGAGTCGATATCCGCTATTTTGGGAGCCTCGAGCTCGAGTCCATTTTGTCGAGCTCGAGCTCATGGAGTATTTTTTTTTTGGCTCGAGCCGAAGCTCATTTCAGTTTTTTTTATATCTTATAATAAAAAATTAAAAAAAATAATGAATTGTAATTATATATTTTTGTATGTTTTTTTTAATATTATTATTATAAATTATCTATTATCTAAATAAAAGATAATAGATAAAAAAAAAAAAAAAAAACTCGCAAGTCGGCTCGTGAGTTCATGAACAATCAAGAAAAAAGGCTCAAACTCGACTCGTCAGGAAGCTAGCTCGAGCTCGAAAAACTCGAATTCGAGTTCGAGAGCATCTACAATGGAGAGGGGAGTTTCCAATACTGCATTAAATTTTTTTTTTCCTATTTTAACCTTATTAATTCAACTCTAATACTAACTTTCTCTTATCATATCATTACGATATATGATCAATATTATTTTAGCTTTTTTAATGTATTTTTTTCCTGAAATCAAGACACATTTATTGATATTTTCAATACTTGTGCAAATCTGAAAAACGATAATTAATTAGAAACGCATGGAGTATATAAGAACAAACTCAATTATTATCCATTGACAAAAGTTTTTCACCATCCAAACATGAGGTGGATTCCGGTAAATACACAAATATGAGGTCAGACCTTACCCAAGGACAGTTTTCGTAATAAGACCTCACCCAAGGACAGTTTTATAATTACACAAATACGAGCGATTCAATGATTTGTAATAATTTAATTAACATGAAGAAGAAAAAAAACAAAAAAACAATGATGTACAAAAATTGATGAATAAATGACAATCATCAATCATTTGCAAATCAAAAAAGTCACCAACTCATAGCTGCATATACTAAAACTAACAAGCAAACTTATAAGTTAGAAATACTTGCCTCGAATTTTTAACAATCTAAGTTAAAAAGAAACAAAAACAAGCTTTCTTCTTAAGCCAAATTAAATCGTACACCTCTATTACATAATACTCTCTAATCACACTTATCTTTTGAATTGTCCCGTTTAACTAATAGAACTACGGCCCCACAAGTAACGGCAGCATGCGGAACGTATACTAAATCCCGACTCAAATGCGCAGACACCCCGATCAACAGAGCCACCGCGCAATCATAAAAGCTAAATATTTCGGACGCCCCAAAAATATTAATCACCGGAATTAAATTAAAACAAATTAAAAAACCAAAAACCATTCCCCGAGACCCCTCCACAAGGTGGGCTAACCCAAAACAAACGAGCACGAACGCAATCTCGAACATCCATTTTCCAAACAGGGGAAGTTTGAAGTGCTTGCTTTTGTCGGAGAATGATAAGAACATCATAAATAAACCATAGGCGTCGTTAACCAACATTATCCCGACAATCCCAAATAAATAGTCCTTGAAAAAGCCCGGTTTCTCTATCGTTTCTAGAGGGAGTACTAAGGTGGAAGCATATACCCATGATACCATAGCCAATAGATACCATACCACGGTCCTTCTTTTCGTGAAGGGTTGTGGCGAGTGCGGATAGTTCTTCGTTCGTCTATTAATACTTGTGAAAAAACCCGACACTTGTTTCGACCGACTAGTGAAGAAAGTAGTACTAGCGTTATAAATCGGCTTACCTACTAATGGCTTAATACTTTTGCCTATTTCTTCGTGGTTAAAGGCTTCTTCGTTTGTTTCGTTTTGCAAATTTATTCGAGCGAGATTGGTAGTTGTTGGTATTGTTTGTTCATTGGAGGCCGTTGAAACGTCTTTGTCTTCTGACGATCCATTTCGTACGTTTGTATCATTAGAAGGAATAACATACCGTCGTATCTTCTCGTCAATTCTAGTCTTCTTACGGTAGAAAAGTAACTTCTCGGCACCTCTTGTCTTGAGTTCTAATAGAACATGATTAACCAATGGCTCGTGCTTGCCAACGTGAGTTCTAAAGAACTCGTAAGCATGCGTCGTTACCTGCAAACAAAAAAAATATTTAATTTTATTTAGGATGAAGAAAAAATGACTGAAATCAATAACGACGATGATTATCGAAAAAAGCATTAGAGTACGGACTTTAGTTCTTCGGGAACACAAATATACGAACAATGCAAGCTTAGCTCCGCCGTAGATCGGAAACCTTCGCGAGAGAATTTAAAGTTAAACGCATAATTAATTTCGAGCGTAAAATAAAAATACTAATGCAATTTGTTATTTAAAATGTTTACCATGTGTTCAAGAAAAGGGTAATCTTTTCAACAACTGTCAAAACAACCACTAAGATCCTGCAAGTGTAAAGATGGTGTTACTTCTAAAAAACATGAATAATAATAATAATAATAGGTAAATTACGGTCACTCCTGAGGTAAGATCAAATTACGAAAAAATCCTCATGAGTAACTACAACCACCCCATCAACAATGAATCTTCTTACATATCAATTCTTGTAGTGTTAGATTTAGTGGAATCTTCTACATTATGTGGAATACTCTCCAGTTTGTACCCGTTTTACACGATTCGAGGTCCTCATTTTTAAACAAGATAATCATAAGGTGTGTTTATTGAATTGTAAATATCAAATTGTGGTGCATCACTAACTGCATTTTTGTACAAAACAAGTACAAAAAACTAGAGAACATTTCAAGAAACCTAGGAGATTATGTTTAATTTGACACCATAAGAAATGAACATGTAAGAATATCTATAGTTGAGGAAATGGTTGTAATTAATCAAATATGAGGCGGAGTTTCATAATTTGAGTTTACCTCGGGATGCGACCGTAATTTACCCTAATAATAATTAGAGGAGTACAAAATGAAATTACAGAAAATTTACCAGTATTTGCACCAAAAACGAAGCTGTTCAACATCAGGCTTGTTCATCTCCACAATTTTAAAGCATTCAAAAGCAGGATAAACAAATCCTAGTATAAACCTGCAAATTATTTTTTAAAAAATAAAAATATTAAAAATCAAAATTAAAATAAATAAAAATGAATTTTAAGGATCAGAGACTGGTGATTAAACTCACACAAGTGTTGGAAAAACCGATAAACGATGTTTTTCATTTAACATAACCAGAGTGTTACAACTTAAATAGAAAACTAATTAACAAATTTATCCTAATTTTAGGGAACACTAACCCACTACTAACAACTAACTAAGTATCCTACAATCACGGGATACTATTTTGACTAATTATTTTCCTAAACTAATATTAATCATTTAATTAAATAAACAATAAATCTAATATTTTAACACCCTCCCTTAAACTGATTCCCGCGGAAAACAGTTTACAATGAGATTTATTCTTCTGCTTCGATATATTCTTTTGCGAAAGAATATATATCAAATTCCTCACAACGAGAACCAATGCCTCAAACAATCCAACTCGGGCGAACGCCAATTTTTTTCGAACGCCTCCGTCAATCTTCCATGATTGACACTCCATCCATCACACACGAGAAATCCTAATTTCTTTTACGAAAGAAATACATTAGCTGTTGCTAATCGAACACTTCTACTTCAATGAAGTATTCCACCATATTCTCGTACTAAAAAATGGACACATCAGCTCCGGCTGATTTCACCTCATTCTTAAGGCAACATTAATCCTCTCGTTGTACCAAATCGCCTTGAAGACTTCACTTATCTTCACATTGTTTAACAAGAGTTTCTTTCAAGATTTCAACATTCCTTCACCTCTTCAGCATTTCTATCAAGTGTTTGGGATTTTTGTCACCCTTCAAGACTTTCTTGAATGGCCTGCCATGCCACCACGGTTTTCTACCAGGCCTAACCAGCCGCACCACCGAACATGCTTTCCTATGCCGAAAATAGTTGCATCTCCTCATCTCTGTCGGATCTGGGCTGCAACTTTCACCTTCGACGTAGCCTCCTTTGGAACTTCTTCCACTGTAAGATTGGTGTTGTCTCAAATCTTCTAATCTTCGTGCCGAGTTTTCCAAACGTGCTCTCCGTAGCCGAGTGTCGTCTCGTCTGTGTCGAATTTGGCCTCGGCTACCTCGACGGTGTCACAAATGGGCTGGTTCGTCTTGCCCTCGCCAACGTCATCAATCCTTCACGTCTTTGGCACGGATCTTAACATCCACGACTCTATTGTGTACGGCCTCGTAGTTGCCGAATCTAGCCTGCCTCTGCCCCATAGAAATTAAGAAGACTGCCTCACTTGGATAATCGAGTTTTCGCCGCAGAAATAATCGAGGTTTGCAGGCAGCTGCTGCTCAATATTCAAGAACGTTACTTTTCTTTGAATAAGTTCCCTAGGTCTTTCATTCACGTATGAAAGATTCAATAGCATCTCCTACAAACATTCTGCTTTGTTCTTCATATGGGGAAGCTTCTGCAAACTCTCTCTATTCACTCACAAAAATTGTGACTCTCTCGATTCTTCTCTTTTCACTCCTTTTTTTTTTTTTTTTTTTTTTTTAATTAAATACACCTTTCACATACTAGGAATTAGAAAAGAGAAGTATCGAGACGTCTCCTCCAACGAAGAATATGTGAACCCTTTCACAATAAAAGAGCCGGATCACAGGTCAGGATCCAAGCTCTGATACCATGTTGGAAAAACCGATAAACGATGTTTTTCATTTAACATAACCAGAGTGTTACAACTTAAATAGAAAACTAATTAACAAATTTATCCTAATTTTAGGGAACACTAACCCACTACTAACAACTAACTAAGTATCCTACAATCACGGGATACTATTTTGACTAATTATTTTCCTAAACTAATATTAATCATTTAATTAAATAAACAATAAATCTAATATTTTAACAACAAGTGCACTAATGATTTGCGATCCAATTAGCATCTTCATTCCCTGTGACATGAATAAATTATTCCAGAAAAAAATGAATTATATTCACATAAATAAATAAATAAACAATAATTTATTCTGGAATATCTCTCGTATTTTTCCTTATGGTAACAAACTTTCCCGATTGTGTAGATGCTGCTGGGTCAAGGGGTTACTATTTACAAGAAAATGCAAACATACATAGATCAATTTTTTTATTATAATTATTTATCCAACTATATATTTATTTTAGGACCCCTGAGATATGTTAAAATAATTTTACGATCCATGTGGAATCGGTAATTACACGTACCCCTTAAATATTGTCAGAAGTTCTAACGGAATAACTTATCTTATCCCGTTAGAGTTACTAACAATATTTCAGGGGAGTGATTTTATGATTTTAATATTGATACTACAGGGACATAAAAGTTATTTTAGCATATCTGAAGTGTGTAGGTGTAATTTACTTTTATTTTAATATTACTCTTTCGACCCAAATTGAAAAAGTTCCCTAATTAGTAATTACTATTTTCGGTAACTAGAGTCACTTTTGATGTATATTATGAAGTCCAACTTTAGTACTTTACCCTTGGCCCAATTTATTTTCTCCCTTCGTCGGCCCATTTTAACTTATACAGAGTATTATTTGAGAAATTTACAGTTTTCGCCCCTCAAGTTTGCACCAGTTTCAAATTTAGTCATCTATGTTCACAAAAAATACATTCGGTGTCTCATGTTTCAACAGTATGACACTTTTGGTCAGTTTTGTCAATTTACCGTTAATCAGTCAATTAAGAGGGTAATAATGGTCACGTGCTTGATTCATTAATACAAACAAAACATTGACGGAACTGACAAAAAATATTAAATTATTGAAACATAAGGAACCTAGATCTATTTTTTTGTGAACGTGGGGATCAAATGTTAATCGAAATAAATTTGAAGAACGAAATGTGTCGTTTTCCCCTTAATAGTTATACCTGAATAATCTCATTTTATTTTCAAGAATGACTTCAAGTGTTTTAGAGGCCAATTACAACATTGATCATCATAAATTTAATGAGCCAGCAATTTGCTACAAAATTTATTTGATTTTAGAATTTTACAAATGTTGAATCTCAAGAAATCCAATTCATCTTAAATTGTAAATTTGTAGGGTAAATTGCGGCCACTCCTGAGATATGGTTAAATTATAAAAATAACCCTCATGTTTTGGTGATTACAACCACCCCTTAACTATAAATCATCTTACACGCCCACTCTTGTGATGTTAAATTAAGTGGAATCTTCTAAATTATGTAGAATATTCTCTAATTTGTACTTGTTTTACCCCATTAGAGCTCCAGATTTTGAAACTAGATGATCATGAGATGTGTCTCTCGGCTTGTAAATATTAGATTGTGGCGCATCATAAATTGCATTTTGCCACAAAACAAGTACAAACTAAAGAACATTCTACGGAATCTAGAAGATTATGTTCAATTTGAAACCATAAGGGTGGATGTGTAAGAAAACTCATAGTTAAGGGGATTGTCGTAATTACTCAAACATGAAGGATTTTTTCGTAATTTGATCATACCTCAAGGGGCGACCGTAATTTACTATAAATCTTATATATAAAAGAAAGAAACGTTGGGCAACCCTAAAAAATCCTAATGGTATTTCTGTAATTAAATATTTCCAATATTTTTTCCTCTACTAATTTCTAACTATAAGTTTTAACAATTATCAAAATTGAAACTAAATCCCGAAGAATCCTATCTAATGATACTTTTGTAATTATTTATTTTTAATATTTTTTATGTACTAATTTTTCAACTATAATTTTCAACAATCATCAATCTTCCGTTTTTCATCAATATATCTCAAATCTTAAGAGGTAAAGATATAAATTCGATTCGTTATTAATCTATATATCTGAATTATAAATCTTAATATGTCAGGTTTAAAAAAACTAATGTTATATAAAGTATGAATAATACTACATATTAAATTTTACTATGTTTGTATACTATATTTTCTTATTATGTATTAAATTGATTATTTATTTTCACTTTTGAAATAATATCTCAGTGCATCGCACAGGAAAAAAATGCTAATTTATATAATAAAAACATAATCGTTAATTAAGAACCAAATGACATAGTTACTTCATGATGGTTTGATATAAATTAATCCACACGGCCATCAAAAAAATAAAATTCAAATAAAAATTATCCAAATGATTCTAACTTTGTATACTTAATTAATTAAATAATTAAAATTTAATAAGTGACCCGAACACCCTGGTATCTAAGAATCTCGCCGATAAGCTCGCCTTTACCCGACCCGACATACCGCCCGCAAATCTCACCATTTCTAATGAACAGAAAAGTGGGCACCTCCACCACTTCCATATCCTTCAAAAACTTCATACAGCTGTCGTTTTCATCTCCGTTCATCCGCGCGAACACCACCGTATCCTCCATCGATCTGGAAAGCTTGATCACCGTCGGGTATACCTTCACGCACGGCCCGCAGTGCTTCAATCCGACGTCGAGGACGATCAATTTGCCGTCGATTTTGTGGTCTCCGATCAGCTTCTCCACGTCCTCGCCGGAGTGGATCTGGAGCACGGCGGAGTGGCTGTCGCCGTAGTAGAGGACGTCTCCGGCGAGTACGTCGGGGCCGATCCCTTCCTCCTCGTGGATCTTCTCCATGGATTTGTAGAAGCTGAAGTGCGGGACCTGCTCGACTTTCTCCCGGGCGCAGAGGCGGCGCGTCTCGTCGGATTCGTCGCCCATCACCAGGAGGAAGTCGACGTCGCTGCAGTTGCGGCTGAGGTCCACCATGAACGGGTAGATCTTGCTGCTCTTCGCGCTGTGGCTGGCGGCGAACTCCACCACCACCAGGCGGTTCTTCGCGGCGCGTAGGGCTTCGTCGAACTCGTCGGCGGTGTGGACTTGCTTCACTCTCTCGTCGCCTTTTTTCAACTTCTCCGCACCCGGAGAGGCCGCGGCGGCGGCGGAGACGGAGACGGCGGTGCTGAATTTCCGGCGGCTTTTGGTTTCTAGATTGGGGAATTTTTGTTTGGATTTGGATTTGGATTTGGATGAATGTAGGGAGGAAAATTGAGGGGTGGTGTTTGTGATGGGGGTGAGATATGGGGCTTGTTTGGCTAAGAAATTTGTGATTGTGGCCATAATCGCAAATTAAGTGGAATTGGGGACTGAAGAGAGAAATAATAAGGAATGAAATGTGCAGAGAGTAAAATGAAAATGGTGGAATTATAATTGAATTGGATTTGGTTGGATTATATTATTTCATCCAGTGGCTGTGATTGGTCAGCTTATGTTATCCATATATTTCAGATATTTATTCTCCATGCATTATACATAGTCTAGCTTCTAGAAACAAAATTGGTTTTTTTTTTTTTTTTTTTTTTTTTTTAATTTAATAACTTTTTATTGTGTTTATGAATTTTCAAAATCCTACCAACTACTAATTATCTTTCTATGGTTCAAAAAAGTTGTTAAATAAGGATAAATTGATTAAATTTGTACTACAACATTGTATAAGTTGTTTATGCATCGTGTAACATATTTTAGAATTTCCAAGTTACTTGTAATTATATAAGGAATGATCTAACGGTTGGAGCGAGTGAGTCTGAGTCAATTGACCCAAATTCGAATTCAGTGTCAACGATCGTTCGATCGAGTTTGTTACACATGGTTAGCCTAGTTTGTTACCTAATAAAACAAAATAAAATTATATATATAAAAAAAGATTTGTTTTACAAATCTTACAATTAGACGCATAAGGGTATTATGTTCATTAAAATAGATATTCCATGGATCTATTTGATTCCATTACTGTTAAATCTGTGGGTGTAAATTCATCACACGGAGACTAAAGGTATTGCTCGTAATTATTCAAAGACTGAGAGTTTTTTTCGTAATTAAACTTTACCTTTGAGGTCTTTGTAATTTATCATAATTTTTAAGAGCACTTAAAATTTTAGACATGTTATAACGTGAGGTATGAATATGTGCCACAAAAACATTATAATATGAAACCAACTATACAAATGCAAATTTTGTCAGTGCTTAAATTTGTCTAGAGTTTATTTGTGTCACAGTCGTGAAAATTAAGTTCAAACATTGTGTTACCATTGGAATAAGTCGCACTTCATTTTCATAATTGTCATTGTCTTTTAGAGAAAAAAAAATCTGAAAATAGGCCAAAAACATAAAAGTCACATTTTATCAGCCAGAAAATTAATATATAGATATAAAGGATCTGACACTTTAGAAGATCTTGTTACAAATAGTAATATCGAATACGAAATTGGAATATGCTAAACAAATTACACTTTAGAATTTGATTTTATTATTATTATTATTATTATTATTATTATTATTATTATTATTATTATTATTATTATTATTATTATTATTATTATTATTATTATTATTATTATTATTATTATTATTATTATTATTATTATTATTACTCTAGTTGTATCAAAGGGCCCAATAAATTATTGAGTGAAAAAATAAGAAAAGGCCCAATTATGCCTGAAGAGATCCATCACAAATGTTGGCAACTATTTTTAGTACATAAAATCAAGGGTTAAATACAGTTTGCACCCTTAAACTATAGGGGTGGTAACACTTACCCTCTTAAAGTTACAAATGTAACACTTACCCCCCTCATTAATGAATTTAATGATAAAACTTTGATTTTGAATGATGTGGCATTTTTTCTTCCAAAATTGTCTTTCTAGCTATTATATTGATGCATATATAATAAAATATTTTCAATAATATTTCAAAAACTAAATTTTATAAAATATAATAATTATTAAAAAAATATTTTGATTTATGTTTAACTCCACATTTTAGTTACTATAGACCCTAATATAAATAAAAATCTCAATATTTTAAAAAATATATTAAATACGTTAAACATTTGCAAGAAAAAAATTATTTTCAAGACTTAAATGGCCAATTTTTTTATGATAATTATTGATTTGAAAATTTATTTTAGTTACTTAAATATAAATTTTAATAAAATAATATTTAAATATTTAGATGTTTAAATAATAATTTCTTATTAATTTTTGAATACATTTTGTGATTCTCAAAGTAAAAAGTGGGATGATTATATTAGATCATATACGCATTAAAATAAATATATAAACTATAAAATCATAATTAAAATTCGAATAATCGTTAAATTTTTATTAGCTACAAATGAACACAAGATAAAACAAAAATACACTAAAATTCAATTTTTTTCATTCATAAATTTACAATATTGAAATAATAAAATTAAGTTTTGGCAAAGTTGTCGAATTTTTTATTATTATTCATTATTTATTTAATGGCTAGAAGGACAATATGGGAAGAAAAAAATACCACATCATTCAAAGTCAAAATTATACCTTTAAATTCATTAATGAGGGGGGTAAGTGTTACATTTGTAACTTTAAGGGGTAAGTGTTACCACCCCTATAGTTTAAGGGTGCAAACTGTATTTAGCCCTAAAATCAACAGTGTATTTGCGAATTTGCCTGCTTTTCACAAAGGTAATGGACACAACTTCAATAGTAGGAAAAGTTTCAAACTAATTTTCTTCATTACATAAAAAATTTACTCTTTGAATAGTTCTAACACTACATTCCTCATCATCGTGAATCCGTACGAATGTGCGATTATCTCCTACTTACCAACGGCCGCCGTCGAGGTACCATTATTTGGACATCAAAACACCTCCACCATCACCGAGGCACCACCATTTGGATATCAAAAACCTCCACCGCCGTCGATGAGTCTGGACATGAAAACACCTTCATCAACGCCGAGGCACCACTGTCTGGACATCAAACACCTCCACCGACGAAATTGAAACAACCATCATTTCATAAACCTGCAACTACATACTCCACAGCCCGACAAATGCATCGCGTGATAGAGCTTCTGTCATCCGTTCTATACACTCTATTTTTTCTTTCATCAGTTTTAATATTGTTTTTTGTATAGTCAATTTATTATTTTTAGTCTAATGTACGCTTTAACATTATAAAATGCAATTTCAAATCGGGAGTTTTCACTAATTTCCCTTTTCTTTAAACACCTAAGGAAGTCACATGTTCCAAGCAATTGCACTCTAATTACCTAATTATTATTCCTAATTATTATGCAATGGTTTTGTTTGTACTTAGATTTATGCATTCAAACAATCAACCCGCGCTACTTGAGCACAATTATTGAAGTAACATAATTATTTTGCTGGTTTCGTCAATATATAATGCATGACGTGCTTTTGAACACTTGGGTCTCGTTTCGTTGCAAATATAAAATTAAACAATCCAATGAAACACAATTGTTTTATTGGGTCTTGGAAGGTCCATAAAAACATGTCTAAAAGGTAATATAAGTCATGATAACATAATATTTGCGCGTCGATCTGATAAGTTATTGGGCATAACAAACATCAAACAAAGTCTAATTATTTAATTAATTATAACTAATCTCCCCAACCAAACGAGACCTTATTGAATTAATTAAAAAAAATGCAGAAAGATTGTGTATGCTAGGATATAAGGGTAGAAGCACCTTCAAACATATCCCTTTGCTCAATTAAAAACAAAACCATAATTTTTCTACAATATTTAATTATATCTAATTTTATAAATTGCACATGTTAATTAGTTATTTCAATATATTGACATTAAACTAAAAAACAATGAAATATCAATATCAAAAAAAGAATATATAAATTGATAATTTTGGTGAAGCTTGTACGCATCAAAATATGAAGTAATTACATTATATTGCTGCACAAACCTTCTTTTCCTTTTGCTTCATTTTTGCCCCTTTCATCAACTTATAAGCTACGCATCATTTCAACTTCGCACTCTCATTACTCTTTGACTTATGTTCACCGCCCCCCCACCCCCTATGAGATTGTTTATATGTAAAACTCACTCCCAAGTAAGGCACAAGCAAAATCAACTTTATTATATACTCTTCCTTATTGATAAAACTATCATTTGTGATTGGTTACTTTTATTTTCTTTTTCTTTATTAACAATTTCATTTAGGGTAAATTATGAAACTCCCCTAAACTTATGTTAAATTATGAAAAGCACCCCCACTTATTCGTAATTATCGAAATCCCCCGAGGTTTGTTTCCGTCTTACACCACCGACGCACTTATGGCTTAATTTTTCACGGAATCTTTGTTATTACAGTACATATTTCTTAAAGAATGTCAATTCTACCATTGTAAACGTGGCATTTCTTAATGCTATTTTTTAAAGACAAAAATTACTCTCATAAGGTGTAGTAGTGTACGGAAAAAAATGTGAATGTGTTATTTAAGAAGAAATAAAGATTTTGTGTTAAGCCAAGCTTCCCTAGGGATAATTTTTGCCTTTAAAAAGTAGTACAAAGAAAAGTCACGGTTGCAGGGTAGAATCAGCATTTTTCAGAAAATAGTACTTGGAATAAAAACATTCCATGCAAATCACACCGTAAGGGAGTCGGTGTAAGATGGATACAAACCTTAGGGGGTTTTAGTAATTATGAATAAGTAGGGGTGTTTTCATAATTTGACCAAAGTTCAGGGATTTTTTTGCAATTTACTCTTTAATTTATTGCTTTTTTCTTTTACTTTCTTTCCCTTTGTATTTTAATTTTTTTTGACCACGGAACAGTGAATTTGGAAGAGCAATATTATAAAAAGAGGCACGTACACGCTGCCACTCTCTTGTGCTCTTCAACCAATGTTCTTTTTTGAGCACATTTAAACATACAAAGAGGGTTGCACAACATACACAACTTTCTCTCTCTCTCACTCTCAAACACACACACACACAATAGGTAGAGAGAGAAAATGGAGAAGGGGTTTGGGCTGAGCCACCTGTTCATGACGGTGTTCCTCTACTGCTTCGCCAACTTCATGGTGGTTCCGGCCATCACCGACGTCACAATGACCGCCCTTTGTCCCGGCAAAGATGAATGCTCTTTGGCCATATATCTCACCGGCGCTCAACAAGCGGTACGTTCAATACATATATAATATAATATTTTTTTTATTTTTAATCTAATATGTTATATGCATATCAATTATTTAAATTAATTAAACCCATTATTTATATATCAACAAAAGAATTAAAACCCATTATTTATATTTTTTTTTTTTGAAAAAGATTACCATAACTTCTCATTGATTTTAATTAGTCACATTTCATTGTGAGCGCTAAGGTGTCTTTTTCTAGTAATTCTCCCCTACATTGTCAAATAAATTAAATTAAATTGTGCTTTTTTTTTTTTTGTTGAAATAAAAATTATATAGTTACCGTTTTCACACATTGCTTCGTTAGCCGGCAACTATGAATTATATATCTTCTTCTTCTTCAATGAAAGCAATTTAAATGCTTGATCATGTGTGCGGATGAATCTCCTTTTCTGATACGCTTCGATCATCATTTTCTTTATTTTTTGACTAAATTTAATTTATTTCCATAAATCCTAGTAATTGTGTCATGGTTTGTAATAAAGTTTATTTACTTCATTAAAAAAAGGGGTTTTCAGGGGGAAAAAAACAATATTCTCCTGGATATTTAATTGCCCACAACTTTGAAAAGACTTATAGGATGGGAAAAAAGTAAATTTTATTGCCCCTTTTTCTTTTCTTTGAAGTATAGTTAGTAGTTTATCCATGTGAAATGGTTAATAATAAATAAATAAATTGGATTTTGTACTATATACTCCATATAATTGTTATTTAAAGTGATAGTGAATACTCATAATTAAATTTCTTTGAAAAGGATAACAATGAATAACTATGAAAATTGAAATGTTAATGAATGAGAAAATTACATTTTTCGTCCCTCAAGTTTATCTAAATTTCACATTTGGTCCTCTATGTTCACATAAAAACAAATTTAGTCCCTCGTGTTTCAATAATTTATCATTTTTTGTCATTTTGGTTAATTTTTTGTAAGGATGTATGTGTCCATGACTCTCTTAATCGACACACTAACTGTGAATTGACGAAATTGACCAAAAATGTCAAATTGATGAAATATGAGGGACCGAATAGTGTTTTTTGTGAACAATGAGGATCAAATATGAAATCGGTGCAAACTTGAGGAAAAAAACTGTATTTTTTTCCGTTAATGAATAGTAATGGATAATTAAAAACATAGCTTGCAAGTTGGGTTTCTCTTCTCAACATCACTTTCTCAACTCTACCGATCTTGTCACACACTTTATTAGGTGTGAGTCATTTCCCTAAAATTAATTCTAAGAGATTAGTAGTAACAAAGAGCATAAAGTAAGCCAATGAAATAAATGAGTAATTAATTATCTTGCACTAATTTGAATGTACTAATGAGCATTAATATCATTGGACAATTGTCTTTTATTGTGAAAATGCATTTGTAGATGGAGATGGACCATGGGAGATACTTACTATATGAGGGGTGGGGGTAGGGGGTCCCCAATTTAATTTTTATTTATTTTTTATTTTGAATAAATTTAATTTTCTAAGTTTATATTTTAGTGTATTTGGTCCCTTGTCCAAAAAGAACTAAAATATTGTTTGTTTATCTCAATTTTCCAATAATATCCTCTCCATCACAATCTTCTTTCACAATTTCAATTTTATAACCCTCTACCAAAAATTGGAATTTTCGAAATTTGAATTTTAGAATAATAATATCATTCCGATTTCTGAAGATTCGATTCTCAATTTTTTTTAGAACTCAACTACAATTAGTGAAGTAAAAACCAACATGATTTTATTTTTTCTGAATATATACCAATTTCGATATGATTCATTCGATTTTTTTTCCGCACAACATATGCAAGACATACAAAGTGGCAAGCAACACTTGTTACTTTATGTCCACTCCAATTGTTGCCAATTCTATACTACAAAATGACCCCCCGCCCCCCATCCCATCCCTAAATTATATCTTCTCTTGTAAATAACTACAAGAATTTAATCTCTCCACCATTGCTAATACTAAATTGAGATTTAATTTAACCCCTCCAAAACTTTATTTGGGCATTAATATCCCAAAAATAAGAGACCCTATATGGCAGTTGGTCGGTTTATAGCACTAGACTTTTTGTTCCGATTAATTAAGTCCACCTCTAATAATTTCCTAGGTCACATTCATAACATGTTCATAATGTAGGGACCTGTTTTCAACATTAATACATCATATATATATAATATATAATTTAAAAATTTATAGTTAATTGTAAATTTGAATTCCAAAATGTAGCAAAAAAAATAAATTTGAAGAAAATATAATTCATTTGGGATATAGTATATCTTGATTTATGTTATTTTAATTATATTTTATAAATATTTACTTATTATTATTTGTAATGATTTCCTGTAAATATTAGTGTGAGCGTGCATGCTGCACCCAAATTACACGTGGAGCATTAACAAGACCATTAATTAGTGAATATTCAAATGATAATTATGAATTTACACGTGTTGGCAGATAATTGGTCTGGGATCACTTGTGGTGATGCCTTTGGTGGGGAATCTCTCCGACACGTATGGAAGAAAAGTCATGCTCACTGTCCCCATGACACTTTCAATTTTTCCACTAGGTACACTAATTTTATTTTATTTTTTTATTTTTTGCTTTACTTCTAATTATCAATTAATTAACCATATAATCTCTCTCTAATCCCATTTTAATTCTCTAATTAATTACACATTCTGACACCAAAAATTCCTAAAATATGAACTTCATGCCTGTACGTTTAATTAACTGTACGAAAAAGGAAAAAGGAAAAAAGTATTACATAAACAGAAAAGAAAAAAAAAAAAGTATATTGTGACAGTGAAAGAGTGAATAAAGCAGAAAAAAAGTAAGTATATTCTTGTATTTATTTATCTTACTTAGGAAGTAACATTTCTAATTAGTATACGGAATTTGATTATATGGTCCTTGGAATAAATGGAAATTATTAAATGGGCCACAAAACTTCTACTCATGTACATTTTAATACGTAAAGAGGCCCAATCTTCATTCTATTTCACATTATTTTACCAATATTTGATATGTTTGGAATAGGATAAAAAATCGGAGGGATAGGATATAAATTATAATTTTCAAAAAATGAATTAAAAGAAATGGGAAGTGAAAAAGTAATTCCAATTTCGTTCCAAAACAATTCGGAAATCGGAATTCAAGTGATTTTTCGGACCGGAATCTACCAAAAAAATACATAATGATATCTTAATAAGTGTAATTTCAGGGGAATATTTTTTTGGAGGAATTGAAATGAGATTGAAAATCGGAACCTCGTATATACTCCAATTCAAGTCCAAATTTGTTTATCAAAAATCGGAATTTTTAAAATTTCGAAAAGAAAAACATTGTTCCAAAATCGGAAAATTTAGGGATCAAGTATACAAACTAACCTACGTGATTTATTATTACAGTGATACTGGCTTACAGGAGGACAAAATATTACTTCTACGCTTACTATGTGTTCAAAACTCTAATTTCCATGGCTAGTGAAGGAAGTGTTCAGTTTCTTGCTCTTGCATATGTGGTAACATTTCCCTCTTTTACCCCTCTAACACAATTTATTTTTTAAAATTAATTATGACAAGATATTACGTTAATAAAATAAATAAAATATGACTTCAACAAATTATGTTAATATTATTACAGGCAGACAATGTTCCAGAGGGCAAAAGGGCTGCAGTGTTCGGAATCATGTCGGGCTTTTCTTCGTCTTCGTTCGTTTTCGGCAATTTTTCGACTCGTTTTCTCTCGACTTCCGCAACTTTTCAAGTATTCTTTTTTTTAAATCCCTCATTCTTCCTTAATATTTAAATCATGCAAATAAAAAAGAATATCTTATAATAATAGTACATTTTTTATAATGTGCATGTATATAGGTTGCTGCTGCAATGTCGGTTATCGCGTTGTTTTATATGAGAGTGTTTCTCCCCGAATCGATGATGAGTAATACTAATTGCACGAAGAGCACGGAAGAAACTGTTTGCCTTCTCGAGAAAGCTCCCTCGAAAAAATGGAATCTTTTCGATACTCTGCCTTCGATGGATGATACCATTTGCTTGTTAAAAACTAGGTCAGCCATAATAACAATTCATTTTCTAATTATTATTATTTTTATTTTTTTTAAATCGTTCCGGAAATTGAATCTTATCGATATGAATAAACGTCAGCCCCACATTTTCGAAAGCAGCTGTGGTTGCATTCTTCATCAATGTCGGAGATGTTGGACTCCATGCTTCTTTGATGGTACATTGCCTTTCGAATTTTATCCGAGTTTATGAAATTGCGACTATTTTTTTTTTTTTTTTTATTTATCGAAATCCCGTGCAGTATTACTTGAAGGCTCAATTTCACTTCAACAAAAATCAATTTGCTGATTTGATGATAATTGCTGGAATGGCTGGATCGATATCGCAGGTAGTTTTTTTCTCCACGCATTTCCATTAATTAAACGCATTTTTTTCTCGAAAAATTATAAAATTGTTTGATGTATGTATGATTGAATTTGGTTTTGAATTATTACAGCTGATTCTCATGCCCATATTAACGCCATTAATGGGAGAAGAAAAGATGCTTTCTCTAGGGCTCTTTTTCAGCTTTGCTCATGTATGAAATTCTACGTAATTCACACTTCTTACGAATCATTTTTTCCACTAAAATAATTTATGGAGATCAAATTTTATTAAAATATACAAGTATTCATCACTAATTAACTACGTTTTATACGAGTGCAGATGATACTTTACAGCGTCGCTTGGGCACCTTGGGTAAGTATTATCATTTATCAACTTATTGACAACACGGAATTATTCCGATATAACGGGGATTTTTTTTATTTTTTTTTTGCAGGTTCCTTATGCTGCTGCAATGATATCAGTTCTCGCGACTTTCGCAATTCCATGCGTACGATTTTTTCAAATTTGTTCTCCGAAGCACATTTCTTGATTCATTTAATATCTTGAATCATCAAATTTGACTTTGAAAATTCTCGTTTTCATTTGCAGCTACGAAGTATTGCATCCAAACAAACAGGACCTAGTGAACAAGTGAGCCTTATATCGGCTGATAAATATTTCATTTGATTTTTTTCGTTAATTGAGTTGCTCAAATTGTACGAAAAATTTATTAATATTTCCGTGCTATCAGGGAAAGGCTCAAGGGTGTATTACAGGCATATGTTCGTTTTCGAACATAGTCTCCCCTCTCGCTTTTAGCCCTTTAACAGGTAAGCAAACAAAAATCATTTGTCTACCAAATTTAAATATTTCTGAATATCGAATAAACCTTAATATAATCACGGAAAACAATCCCTTTTCATTTGCTTTCATTAGCTCTGTTTCTATCGGATAATGCACCGTTTTACTACCCTGGATTCAGCATTATGTGCTCCGGCTTAGCTGCTGTAAGTACTAAAGTACCCCACTTCATAAAATAGCTAATAATTTATCAAAATGTTAACTTTGATTTTAAGTTAGTATTTTTTTAAATTTTTTTTTGTGTGTAGATGGTAGCGTTTGTACAAAGCGTGATGATAAGGCCTCCTCCGCCTCCCGCCAAAGATAGCAGTTGTAGTAGTACCGTAGAGCCGCTCGTTTGAATTAAACTTGTTTCTGCTCTAAATTATAGCCCCAATGTTAATATTATTATCGCCGATCAATTAAAAACCTCGGATATAGCTAAAGATCAAGCAGAAGTCTAGATTTTATCGAAGGTAACCTATAGTTTAAATTTCAATCTTCTGTTTTTTTTTTTTTTTGCCATCTCTTTGGAGTAATCTTTGGATTATTGTCAAGAAATGGTTGTTAGGAAATGTGTAAAGCAGTGGAAATGGAAGAAATTGATGATTGTATTGTAAATAAGAATAGTGGGGGGTTACAATTGTAATTTGTAAATTTATTCTTATAATCAAATTAATATGTCTCGTAGGAAAAAAATCAAATGTACCAAGGCAAGATCAATTTCAATCCTTCAAGAATAGTTCCAAAAATGGAGATAAATGTACCTAACAATGGCAATGGGTTTGAAAAAATGAAACCTAATTAGTGCCAACTACCAAACTTGCTACCCTATAACATATCTAAACAATAGGACGGTTACCTATCAAGTATGGCTGGCAATCGGACCGTATGAGTCGAGTTTGGATTGGTTCGAACTCAAATGCCATCGTTGGGCATTATTACTGTAGGTTCAAACTCAAATGCCATCGTGCTTTATAGTGATAGGCTCAAAACTTAGCTCGTGTATTTGTTCGAGCTTCGAATTTATATCAGGCTTATATCGAGCCATATATAACTTACATATTTTACAACTTTGTAGTCAAATGTGTTCAAAAAAATAAAACTTTGCAGCCGAGAACAAAATCCAAAATATTCATAAAGAGCAAAAAAAAGATCATAGTATGTTCCATCAATTAGAATATTCACTTGATTCGTATTTGATTATTTGCCACCGCCACCACTTAATTCTTTTTTTGGCTTTTTTTTCTAAAAAAAATTGAAATAAAATCATTACATACCGTTGTAAGTTGTAACTTTTATGCTGATTTGATCGGGTAATCTTAATTCGGGACCGACTCATAAATGAATCGGATTTAATCAAATGGCTAAAACTCAACTCGACTAACTGAAACTAAGTTCGGCCAAAAATTAATTGGATCGAGCCATCGAAATTCGATTAGGCCAGCTCAATTGCGGGTCCCACATTAAGATAGGGAACTCATATTTTCAGATAGGGTTGAGTTGGATCACGTGCAATTGTATATTAGATAATGCATGAAGGCATGAACAAGATACCCATAATTTTCCCTCCAAAATAGGCTCATTTTATGCTTTGCAAGATTTTATTTATTTATTTATTTTTCTAAATAAAGGTCCAAATTTATTATCAAATCTTGTTCCTACACGTGTCCATAGTTTAAAGACAGCAAACTACTTACCACCCTCCTACGTTTGAATATTTCGAAAATTGTCCCCCACTTCCATCTCCCTCCTCCACCATCGTCCACGGCGGGGACACCAAAAACCACCACCACTCTCCGCCGCAACCCAGCCACATTTACATTTTCATTCTCCAATAAAAATTAAAAAAAAATAAAAAAAAGATGCCCGGAGAATCTCCAGACAACAATATAGTGTACCTCCATGGCGACCTCGACCTTAAAATCATCGAAGCCCGATGCTTGCCGAACATGGACTTGCTCACCGAACGCCTCCGCCGCTTCTTCGCCGCCTTCGCCTGCCGTCAAACCAACCACCACCACCACGACGGCACCGACCACAAACACCACAGCAAGAAGATCATCACCAGCGACCCCTACGTCACCGTCTGCCTCGCCGGAGCCCGGGTCGCCCGTACCCGGATCATATCCAATTCGCAAAACCCGGTCTGGAACGAACATTTCAAAATCCCCTTAGCTCACCCCGTCTCACAGGTACCGTACACCCAAATTAAAACCCCCAAAAAATTTATAATAATAATTAAACACGCAAAAATCAAATTGAGGAAACAAATTAAAAATTCGCAGGTTGAATTCGAGGTGAAGGACAACGACGTGTTCGGGGCAGACCTAATCGGAGTCGCCACAGTGGCGGCGAGCCGAATCGCCGCCGGCGAGACAATCGACGAGTGGGTACCGGTGATCGGGCCGTACGGGAAGCCGCACAAACCCGATTCCGCAGTCCGATTGGAGATCAAATTCACACCCTGCCACACAAACCCTACCTACCTCAACGGAATCTCCGAAGACCACGAATTGAAGGAGAGCTACTTCCCGTTACGGCACGGCGGCAAGGTGACGCTGTACCAAGACGCGCATGTTCCGGAGGGAATGCTGCCGGAGATCGGGCTTGACGAGCAGAGAAGATTCGAGCACGAACAATGCTGGGAGGATATATGCCACGCGATATTGGAGGCGCACCATTTGGTGTACATTGTCGGGTGGTCGATTTACCATAAGGTGAAGCTAGTGAGAGAGCCGACGCGGCCGTTGCCGAAAGGCGGGAATTTGAATTTGGGCGAATTGCTTAAGTACAAATCTCAGGAAGGGGTTCGAGTTTTGTTGCTCGTTTGGGACGACAAGACTTCTCACAGCAAGTTCTTCATCAACACGGTAAATTAAAAAATAAATTGTAATTAATTTTCGGTTTTTTTTTTTTATCTGTAATTAATTGTGAATTGTGATTTCTTTCGATTTCGGGGCAGACGGGGGTGATGCAGACGCACGATGAAGAAACTAGAAAGTTCTTCAAGCATTCTTCGGTGAATTGTGTGTTGGCCCCTCGTTATGCCAGCAGTAAGCTTAGCATTTTCAAGCAGCAGGCATGTTTTTTTTTACTTCTCTTATCGTATGTTTTTCCGATTCCCGTACATTTTGACCCAAAATTTTCCGATTTTGGAACAATGTTTTCCATTTCAAGTCCATGATTTTCGAATTTTTGGATCAGAAATGGAATATATATGAGATTACTATTTTCAATATGATTTACATTTTGAAAATTCCATTTTTTTTAACGAAAACTACACCTATATTAACATTATTATTATGCATTTTATAATTTTAGGTAAAAGTCCTGAATTCCGTCATTGTGGTTTCCGTTTTTCCGGTTTTTTTATAACAAATTGAAATTCATTATTTTCCAAAAGTGTTATTCTAATCCAATGCGTCCGATTTCTGCCCCAATATACATGTATACATATAACTGCTAATGATTTTGAAAGTACGTTAAATTTCCGAGATATCTAGGTCGTTGGATCTCTATACACTCACCATCAGAAATGTGTAATTGTGGACACTCAAGGCAACGGCAATAACCGTAAGATCACTTCATTCATCGGCGGTCTCGATCTTTGCGACGGCCGCTACGATACGCCCGATCACAGGCTATTCCGTGACCTCAATACCGTCTTTCACGATGATTTTCATAATCCCACATTTGCCGTAACCACCTCTCTGTCTCTCTTTCTCTCTATATATCTAAAATAACAGATTCTTACTTGTGTGTATTTTTCATAGCCAGGAACTAAGGCACCGAGACAGCCATGGCATGATTTGCACTGCAAAATCGAAGGTCCAGCTGCGTACGATGTGCTAACTAATTTCGAGCAGCGTTGGAAAAAAGCCACTAAATGGTCGGAATTTGGCCAACGGTTTAAGAGAATATCCCATTGGCACGATGATGCATTGATAAAGATCGAGCGAATTTCGTGGATTACCAGTCCTTCTTCAACACTTCCGAACGATCATCCTTCTTTAAGGGTTTCCAAGGAAGATGATCCCGAGAATTGGCATGTCCAGGTCAAGAATGTCTCAAATATATAATCTTTTTTCCTTTCGCTTTCTTTTTTTGGTGAATAAGATTGATCTTTGGTTATATATTTCGAATTTAAACAGGTTTTCCGATCTATAGATTCTGGATCGTTGACGGGATTCCCGAAAACTGTCCACGCAGCTGAGCAACAAGTATTGCTCAAACTTATTAGCTTGTTAAAAAAAAATCTTTAAATTTGTGATTTTACGAACACGTATCTGAATCAATCATTGTATTGCATATATGCAGAATCTGGTTTGTGCAAAGAGTTTGGTGATAGATAGAAGTATTCAAATGGCATATATCCAAGCAATTAGGTCTGCTCAGCACTTCATATACATTGAGAATCAGTATTTTCTTGGGTCGTCTTATGCTTGGCCCTCCTATAAAAATGCAGGTAATTGAATAAGTAGACGATATTTCTTAATTTCAGCTTTATTTTTTACTTATAGTATAACGATAATTATCGTTGCTGTCAGGTGCTGACAATTTAATTCCAATGGAATTGGCATTAAAAATCGTAAGTAAAATACGGGCAAAGGAGAGATTCACTGTTTACATTGTTATACCAATGTGGCCCGAGGGTGCTCCCGATTCTGCTTCTGTACAAGAAATCCTTTATTGGCAGGTAAAAGAATTAATACCTTCATTTCTTTATCATATTAGGACAGGTTAGATAAACTGTCGATAGGAAATATAGGCCTTCATTTACATAGTTATACACCGAGGGGCAAAATTTTGTGGCCGAGTATACAATCCTACTAATTTTTCCCCCTTGTAGGGACAAACAATGCAAATGATGTATGAAATTATTGCTAAAGAGATCAAAACAGCTAAGCTCAAGAACGCACATCCGACCGACTATCTCAACTTCTACTGTCTTGGCAATCGGGAGGAACCTCTAAACGAACCAAACAAAAACGGTGTATCCTCTTCAAACGGATCTACGGTCACTTATTTCTCGCATATTCTCAATTTTTTTATCTATAGGATATATATGTATATAAATATTTAATTCGAGAGAAATTTCTTACACAGGAATCGGCTTCACAAAAATCGGGACGGTTTATGATCTATGTACATGCAAAGGGAATGGTGGTTGATGATGAGTACGTTATAGTGGGGTCCGCAAATATCAATCAAAGATCCATGGCTGGTTCGAGAGATACAGAGATAGCCATGGGTGCTTATCAGCCCCGTTACACCTGGATTAAAAATAAGGAACACCCACATGGCCAGGTCAGCTTCCAATGTATCTCGTTAAATATATACAGCATTAAAAATACAAATAATAATATTTAAAATTTGTTATGCAGGTATATGGATACAGATTGTCGCTATGGGCGGAGCATTTGGGGAAGGTAGATAATCGTTTCAAAGATCCGGCGAGTTTGGAGTGCGTAAAAAGTGTGAACTGTGTTGCGGAGAATAACTGGAAGAGATTCACGGGTGAAAAGTTCGCTCCATTACAAGGGCATCTTCTGAAATACCCGGTGGAGATTGATGGTGATGGAAAGGTAAACGCTTTGTCTGGATACGAAACATTCCCGGACGTTGGTGGGAAGGTTCTAGGTGCTCCCACGAATCTTCCGGATGCTTTGACAACATAACAATCGTATATATTATAGTTTTTTTTCTTCTTTTTTTTTTTCCGCCCAGAAAGGGGGTTTGTAAATAGATCGAATATACGTAAAACTTGTAAGTAAAATGCATCAAAGGATGATACCACAAAGAAATATAACTGTTTTATTAATGAGTCTTCTCAAACTGTCATAACTAATTTATTTGACAGTTACTTTTCCAACCATGCCAGCTCCTTGGTGAGGAGCACAATAGAAACTATATGTTCCTTTTTGTGTCGAAGTGACTACATATGTATCCCCTTTGGCATTGAGCAAGTCTTCTTCCGACATTGAAATCTTGGTCGCGTCTACTCCGGCCGGGACTTCGTCCTCGTCGAACACCACGTTGTGTGGGAATCCGGCGTTGTTGAAAAAGACGATTTTCTCCCCGGCCGGAACTTCGAAGTTTTGGGGGATGAAAGCCAGCGATCCGTCGTCGCCGCCAAGAGTGATCTGAATGGCCATGGCATTGCCGTTGCCAGCCAGCACCACACCGGCGGCGGCGGCCGCCGCAACAGCTGCCACGCCGAGGTCCTTTAACGAGGCCCTCACGGCGAGCTTCGAAGCTGTCAGGGCGGCGGCGGCGAATTTTGCGGTGGTGGCTTTAGGAAATGGGATGGTGCCGCCGGCCTTAAGCCCGGAGAATGATGGAATGGTAACAGAAGCCATTCGATATGTGATGATGATTCTGGTTTTTTTTTTTTTAGGAATAAAATCAGAAAATCAAGAAAAACAAAGGGATTGATTTTTGCTGTTCAATCTGTGTGGTGTGTTTTTTTTTAGCTATAGGTTTATGTGGTGCAAATTAAAGTCATTTGGCTGACGTGGAGGAATTCGGATGTTTGTGATGTTAATTATTTGAACACAAATTTATCAGTGGAGGATAAGTTTTGATATTTCAGTGTGGAAAAATCACGTGGAGGCATTTATAAAATTTGTCAAAATTGCATTTCGAATTTTGACCCGAAAAAAATAGGAACCGAAAAAAATAGGAAAAAGAAAAATGCCTAAACTCCATGAAATTCATATGTATTTGTCAATATATGCATATGGTGAGACTGTATATAGCCGGATAAGTTCTAACCGGTATAAACCGTGCTTATAAAATCCTCGTGACGAAAAATAAACACGAGATTTTAGTTCTCAATCAGCATAGCATATTCGAAATGCCATCGGTACTTACATCAGCTAAGAACAATTTCATGCCTCGTAAAAATATTAAAAACATATGCTAGACTAGGTGATCTCTCTTTCATTTTTTTCTCGAGTAGCGATAATAAGTTAATAACATCAAGAAATCAACAAGCAACCAAGTAAACTCCCTTGGGGGCTTGATTCACAACAAGGTGATTGTAAAAACTATAGAAGAAGTAACACTACGTATTCAACTATACCAACAATGAGATACCCGTATTTAGAAAACCACGATAAAGTAAGAAAACCCTACGAGACCGATAGAATGTACAACACATTTACATCAATGCCACTAATTGCAATTTTATGGCATTTATCACCTTTTTAGAAAAATGGGAAAATATCATCGTTCTTGCCGTCCTCCGAGTCAAAATAGTTGAAGCTCGCGTCGTTATTTGGGTTCGGGTTGAAACTTGAATTCACATAGCACTTCATCCGCAACACTAACCGGAAAAAAACACCGTCAAAATACTTTAATTCTACATAGCATATAAAATTCCATGAACGCATATATAATCCGAGAATTTCACACATAACAACAAATATAGGATACGCCATGCGATTAGTAATGTGACAAAATTCTTCCTCCAATATGCAGTAGCAATGAAACAACACTTCGTTCCGAACTATATTCCACCAAATCCTAGTAAACCATACTAACTATGTTTTATTTAGCTAACAACATTTCGAACGATACTAATTAGTTGCTGATTACGCATTGTAACAATGTGATTAGATTAGTCGAAAGATGTGGTAATCGATTCTACATAAGTGAAGTTCGATTATACACATCACGCAATGGCATATGCGCACCTGAACGAATACGGTGCCGTCTGTATAGGCATGTGGATTGACGGCACGAGTTGTGCGCTGGCCACAAACATTGCATGTGAAAGCCACGCGGATTCTAACGGCGTCGGGATTTGGTGAAGAGCGACCAAGGGAAAAGTGGAAACCCGACCCATATCCGAACCCGCGGGGGCAGGGCAGGTGGGCCTTCCATATATACCCGACCCGGTTGTCCACCCTCTCACGTTCGCCGCACTAAGTACCAGCCCCATCGCATCATCCTGCAACCTCAAATCATTGGAAAATTGTAATATTTTATTTAAAAAAAAAAAAAGGAAAATAGGATAAAGATCGTGCCTTGGATCGTTTTCGCTGTTATTGCTGCCATTACTGTTATCATCTGTACAAAAATTGAAAAAATAAATTTATTCAGGACTGATCAAAGAGGGGAGGTCTGAAAATTGGGAAATGACAGCTCACTTTTGGGCGAAGTGGAAAATCGGATCAGCCGCCGGAAAGATGCATCCTTCGATTTCGCGGGAAAGACAATCGGCAGAGAAACGACGGCGCCGGTGGTGGTGGTTAGGGTCTCCATTTTCCGATGACTGTGTGTATTGTGTGTCTGTTTCATTCAAAGTGATTTTTGCCCCTTTTTTCTTTTTAATTATTCCAAATTCGCTGACCTGAGGAATCTGATTATTATTATTTTTTTTTTGTCCGATTATTTTATTTATTATTATTTTTTATTTTATATTTATTCATTTAATGGGCTTGGTTACTTGTGAGCCTATGAACTTATATTGGGCTTAATTTTTATGGAACTAAAACTGCTGTTTAAGGGCCTTATAACGTTTAGTGGGCTACAACTATTAATAAATTAAGGGTAAATTCCACTTTCCCCCCTTGTACTTTGGCTGGATATCACTTTACCCTCTTGTATTCTCAATTGTATTGATTTGACCACTTGTACTTTGGTTCAATATCACTTTACCCCCTCTACTCTCAATTCATCGATTTTCCCCCTTGTACTTTGGCTCGATATCACTTTACCCCCTTCTACTCTCAATTGCATCGATTTGCCCCCACTGTACTTGAAAAATTGTCTCAATGTGGCATTCGCCGTTAGTTTTCAGACCTTTGACCTTAACACCGTTTGATCTAAGTTGAAAATTACAAAAAAGTCACCCCTCCCAATTTAAATAATTATTAATAATAATAAAAATTTGTGGCTAGCATCGCGGACTATGTTTTCTAGTTGTCCGGAAGCGTTTTCTATAAGTATCATTTTTTTTTAAACGGGAGGGGTGACGTTTTAGTAATTTTCAGACTTAAATCAAACGCTGTTAAGGTCAAAGGTCGTCTGAAAACTAACCACGAGGCCAAATTGAGACAATTTTTCAAGTGCAGGGGGCCGGCAAATCGATGCAATTGAGAGTAGAAGGGGGTAAAGTGATATCGAGCCAAAGTACAATGGAGAAAATCGATGAATTGAGAGTAGAAGGGGGTAAGGTGATATCGAACCAAAGTACAATGGAAAAAATCGATGCAATTGAGAGTACAAGACGGTAAAGTGATATCCAGCCAAAAGTACAAGGGGGAAAAGTGGAATTTATCCATAAATTAAGGCCAAGTATTAATTTTCCTAATAAATGAAGTAAATTAAATTATATGAATTTAAAAATCTTTATCTTAGCTTTCTATTATTAGAAGTGTTATATTGTGACTCATATCCACATGTACAAGTCATGTGGATATTCTTTCGGAGCTGGGGAAAAGTGAGTGGTAAAGTGCAAAACGTTATTGCTGTAAACTACAAGAAAGTTTGAATCACTTCTTCTAATTGTGACACTTATCCAGCTCACATTGGAAACTCGGAGATCGAGCAATTTGTTGTTAGCTAGAGTTGACTATGTATATAAAGCAAGAAGAGCTCGTGGCTTAGCTTGGAGGAGAATCAATCGGAACGGATCGGATCTTCAAAGAGGGGTGTGAGTGTTTGATCATCATTGTTGTAACGTGTAAACCTCTAGATTCCAGAGCTCAATTGTTTTCTCTTTGAACAGTGGATGTAACTATGTGATACCACATATCGAATCACTATATAAATCTTTATGTTCTTTATCGTTTTATTGCTTTCATTTTATCTATGCAACTGTGCATGTTCATTATGTGACTATCGGTTTAACTGTTGCAACAGTTCGTAGTGTTTACTTGGTTTTGATCGTTATGTAGCTTAAATTCACAACAAAAAGGTATTTTGTTTGTTACAACTCCAATAATCAAGAAAACACAAATATAAGATAAGAGAGCAATTATTACCAATACGATCGACTACTATTTTTTCTACGTACACTCCAATTGGAGTAAGTAAAATATCATATGTCATTATCCAAATATTTATCAGATTTTGTCATTTTTGTATCGAATTTATTCTAAACCGATTATTTTAATAAAAAATGTCAATCTGAGAAAGTTGATTTATGCATGTTACCTACATGAAATAAGCTGATTCATAAACAAACTTATAAGCAGTAGTGGATCGAACAAAAAACAAAAAACTACTAAGTTCACAATATATATTAGATGATGATCAGATTCCATGTAATAGAATTAAATACACTGCGCTGCACAGTTCAGAATAGGAAGAGGGAGACTGTGTACTGTATAGTTATGGGGGGCGATTAATTCCTTTATTTATATTCATTGCAATTTAGAGTTCGATTATATCTATATAAATATATATGTATACTTACAGAATATTATGTATTTATGGGTCATCTGTTGCCATTAATGGCCCTTGTCCACTTTTTCTCTTTCTCGTGTTTGGTAAGTAGGATCATTTTAAATGCTCACACATTTTTTCTTCCTTTCTTTCTTCTTTAAAAACCCCACCAAAATCAACACCATTTCTTCATATTTCTCATACATCCCTCTCTCTCTCTCTCTCTCTCTCTCTCTCTCTCTCTCTCTCTCTCTCTCTCTCTCTCTCTCTCTCTCTCTCTCTCTCTCTCTCTCATAATTTAGACAGTGAAGGAAATGTGTTTGAAATAGTCACTATGATGTTGGCTCGGGTCACTCAGATGTGACGAACTTTACACGCTATTTTGGTAAGAGTTCGTTTTTCGTTTCTGATTGAGCCGTGCCAATATCTCAGTGCCATTTTCACTTGTGCGTGACGACGACGAGATTTATATCCGGAGATATTAATTAGCAACAACAATACAGTTCTTTAAGGTTCACATTTTTTATTTTATTTCTTCTAATATAGTAAACTAAGTTAACTCGATCTATTCATTCTTGTTTGCTTTTCAATAATTTTGATATATAGTTTTGATTATTCTGTAAGTTTCAACTCAAATACTGTCACTAAATCCAATTAAGAAATTCTTCAAGATTAATCACGAGACGTTCATGATATAATATTGTTATCTCAACATTTAAAAAAGTACAGACAAGTATTTTTAGGGTAGTTAAAAACCTAATTCCCACTCAATTTATAACTTCAACTATATATTGAGTCTAATTCCATTATTTACCATTTGTACTAAATATTCTAATCGATTTACAGCTAAACCACTATAAATTAATATAATTGAACAATATTAAATTATCGAATTAATACTTTAACATGTTGTCGCCGAGTCAAAACCGAGAGTATTATTTAAGTAAGGTTATTAATCTATCTAGTTTGTACTATTATTTCTCCCATTTCACCTTTTTCCTAATGAAAAAAATAAATAAATGAAAAGTTAGTTGAGTGAGTAAATGAGAGAAGTGGGATTGCTGCTTGAAACAATAAATACGAAGAACAAGTTACACTGTCACAGTATTTATTGATGAAGAAAAAAAGAATCTCTGCAAATATTGTTTTTCCAACAGAGGGAGGGAGGGGAGTCTGATTTAAATATTTACTATATTAAATAATAAATAATAAATAATAAATAATAAATAATAAATAATAAATATAAAACAATAAATATATTGCAGTCAGACAAAGATTCCCATACTAATAAATACTCTTATCTCATTTACTACTCCACTCCACCGGTATTATTAGTTGCTTCCAACGAACATTTATTTATGTGGGTCAACATGTTTTATTTTTTGCATTATCAATCACTCATTATCAGTCAAACCTTTTAATACTACTAAAAGCGCGTCCACGATTTTATATGTCGGTTTAGGGTCAACATAATGGGTACTATTTTTTTAACACAAAAGGACCAAATTATTAAGGCCCAGATTCCGTATTTGGGCCTGTAAGACTGGAACCAATGATCGGATTGCTGAAAATTAAAAAATAAATAATAAAAAATCATAAATAAATTTAAATAAACGACTCCACTGGGGATCGAACCCAGAATCTCTGGTTTCGTAGACCAGCGCCTTATCCATTGGGCCATGGAGTCTTTATTGATTGTTTGTTAATATTTTCGCAATATCAACGTTTTGTATATTTAAAATACAGCACCATCATTTAGAAACATTTATAAAATGCAAGGAATAGAGATGTAAATATTTTGTCAATCAATTCACCTATGATTAAAAAAAAAAAATTGGTTCACTAGTACAAATTTATGTACTTTTATTAGTGTCATTTTGTTTAGTTTCATGGAGTTTGGTAAGAGGTTTTAACGCAATCAATTTTTTTTATTTATTTTATATATATAATAAATTTAATCAAATGGTACCATATGGCATGGTTTTTAGCCTTGGCCCCAATATGGCATACCCTTTTAATTTACTCCCCTTGTTTCTAAATAGTTCTCATCTTCTCGTTCATCACATTTGCTCAAGTATTAAAAATTTCAATAAATATATATCTTGATTTGAGGAAAATAGATAATGATGGACCAAAATAACCTTATTTACTTGCACCATAAGGCGAAATCCCTCGCCCCCAGGGCCCCCATCCCTTGGCCCGACAAGGATTGATAGAGGAATGTAAATCATGGTAACTCAACGGCCCGTTAAGGTAGCGGACCCGGACCTGGTGCCCACAAGGAACCAACCCTCATTTGGAGTTGAAATTCCCACACTGCGGCTGCCAGGATTCGATCCTAGGACCTTGCACCAACTTACCACCTCCGGAACCAGTTGAGCTACACCCATGCGGGCAATAACCTTATTTACTAATTGATGGAGAAAGAGTCTTGGAGAGTTAGTAAGAATATAATTGAATAATACATAACTGATACATTATGACAGGTATTGGTCTATTTGTTCCCAAATAGAAAATTCATTCAATTTGACAAAGTTTTAATTCATAGTTTGTGTCTCACGAACTAATTCAATCAACGTTAAAAATCTAAATTATAAAGAACGACTTTAAAAATTGTCATGAACTATAATATAAAAATAATAAAATATTATTAAAATGTATGATTGATGAAAAGAAAAACCCATCGGTTTGAAAAAGAAAAGAAAAAAATTAATTAAAGCAAGGAGGCATTAATAAATCGCATTAGTGGCTAAACCCAATTGCAATACATTAATTACAAGATTAAAAGAAAACATCATAATCAAGCTCAAGTGTGTAATTAAGAAGACTACCAAACAATTTAATTGGATAATCTCGAAGGTGGGTAGAGTGGTTTTTTCCTACAACATTAGTTTAATCGAAAGATCCAGTCAGCTTTGAAATGGATGTAATGAATAAAGAAACCCTAATTATGGAAAATCAGACAAACCAATTAGGGCTAATTTAAATAAAGTTGTATATAGCAGAGATTGGGAAATATTGGAATCTTAATCAAAGTTTATTAAAAAAAAAAAAAAAGATCCAATTTTTTTTCTTTTTAAATTTAATTTTTGTAAATGGGAGATAGCAGCCGGCAAATCCGTACAAGAAACCACCAAAAAGTTGCAGTTTTTAATGAAATTATGTGTAGATTGAGAGAGTTGAATGTTGAAGAAGCTGCTGAACCGGGTTTTGAAGATGAGTTATGGGCTCATTTTAGCATGCTTCCTCTTCGGTAACATTTATTTATATTCGTCGAAGAAATATACTTTACATATGATGAGTTTTCGTAATAAAATTTGCTTAGAATAATTGCGATTTTACTATACATAACATACGTACATGATGCTGTTGTAGTTACGCATCGGATATTGATGCCGATCAAGCAAAGGATGTACTCATGCACAAGAAACTGTTGGATACGGCTCGCGATCCTCTCTTTCTCACCGGACCTCCAGTTCATATCCGCCTCGTGAAGGTACTCTTCGACAAAAAAAAAAAAAAAATGATATTTGAAAAAAATTGTAGATGTTTATAACGCTTCGATCTTTGTTCGTTAATAGATCTGCATGCAGCCTCAGAATCTTGGCAATTATGCCCAACCAAGCTTCGGTGAAGGAGGGAATGACAAGTTATTATCTCAAACCAAAATTATAAGTTGTACCTAAGTTTCTCATTTCTTTCGAATTCTTGATTTTTTTTTTAAATTAATTTTTTTTTGTCAGGCTACTTCATGAGATAACAATTGCAACGAAAGATAAACCGAAGCTACTTAGCGCTGTAATATTGCCTCGTCGCTCTAAATATGTTATTTTCGTGGTGCCACACACGAGTTATAATTTTTTTTTCTTCTTCTATTTTATAATAAGTGAATGGTTAATTTATTTTGTTTAATTTTCAGTTTGATTGCCTTATGTCTGAGATTGGATTGGTTATTCAAGAATGTCATGCCTTTAGCACAATTGATGGTTATTCATTTGTAACCTTTCTTGTTGATGTATGGGAAAAGGTACCCTCTCTCTCTCTCTCTCTCTCTCTCTCTCTCTCTCTCTCTCTCTCTCTCTCTCTTCCTCTCTCTCTCTCTCTCTCTCTCTCTCTCTCTCTCTCTCTCTCTCTCTCTCGATTTGACTTGTTACAGCAATTTATTAGGGGATTGACCAGCTCAGAAGTACACTGGTGAAGGAAATTTCAGACATGTTGGCAACAAAAGAGAGCACCAATGTCAATGTGTAGAGATCAATTTGTTTTTTCGGTTTTTTTCTAATATTTTAAAATAAGTAATTTATTTCTATGTGTATTTGTAAAATAAAAATAAAAACAATCCCGAACAGAGGTATCTGGACTCGAGTGAACGATGAATTTAATTGCACTTATATTAAACAAATTTGATTTGTATATGATAAGTGCAATCCTTATAATAGCGGTATTTTTAGGGGTCGTAGTGATGATTAGGCAATTCAATATTCATAGTAAAAGTTAATTTAATTATTAAAAAAAAAAAAAAGTTGGGCTTGTTCTTGGAATTTGATCTCTTTTTTTGCATATTTGGACAAATACGATCTGATTTATATTTGGGCCATATATATTTGTTTAGGCCCATCAAATTCATTAGACAATTAATTCTAAATATTTAAGGTTAAATTACAACTACGTATATACCTGAGGTAAGGTTAAATTACAAAAAACTCCCTCTTGTTTAGGTAATTATGATTACCCTTCAACTATCAATCTTCTTACACGTCCACCCGTATGGTATCAAATTCCACATAATCTTATAGATTACGTGGAATGTTCTCCAGTTTGTACTCGTTTTATGCAAAAAATGCAGTTTCTGATGCATCATAATTTGATATATACTAGCCAAAAAAACACATTTTATGATCATCTTGCTTCAAAATGTGGAGCTCGAATGAGATAAAACTGGTAAATACTTGAAAATTCCATATATTAATATAGAATATTCTACAAATTTTTACATTGAGATTCTTAGTTGATGAAATGATTATAATTACCCAAATATGAGAGGAGTTTTTGTAATTGACATTACATCAGGGGTTGACCGCAATTTACCCAATATTTTAATATAAGTTTAAACTGATTTTGAATTATGAATTATGAATTATGATGGTCAATATACAATTTATTTATTTTATATTGTGTTATTTAAAATTCTCCTCGAATTCAAGTTCAAGACTTTTCAATCCATTTGCACTCTTATTAGTGCCAATAATTTTGGAATATACTTTCTTTAAGCAATAACGCGCGAAATTTATAATAATCAAAGAAGAAAAATAATTTGAGACAGCTAAATAAATTATTTTTATAAATTTAAAAAAAGAATAAAAGAAAAAAGAAAAGAAAAGAAAAACAGTTTAAAAAGATCAAAGGAGTGGTCAAAATCAGTGTTTAACATTAAAGAAAGTAATTAATTAGTGCGGGTTGCGCACCCACCCACATACGCACACACTACCTCCTCATGCGCAGCAGCACGCACACGAGCAGTGACGTCACCCTAATGGACCCCACGCGCCCCCTTAACATTTAAATACACAATTAAAATAATTCGTTAAGTAAGAAAAAAATTAAAATTTAATGTGTAGTTGTTATGCAAAATAATCCTGTTTATTTATTTATTTATTTATGGCAACCCGCCTTAATTTATCTTTGATTTTAGATTCTGTGTGCAGCCTGGCTATGGAACAATATATGATGATAGCAAATAGAAAAATAAGAAGAAATCAGAAATAAATCGTATATTCTCTTTATAAGATCTAATAAGATACTTTAGCATATTATTTTATTTTTTAGAAATTAATTAGAAGAAGCTCCAACATGGAGATGTTAAAAGCAAAAGCAAGAAATTATGTTCATGTTTAATTTTAGTTTGGCTATGAAATTAAATATTATATTTATCAACATTTATAAGGTCAAACTAGGGATATAGTATCGGACTAATCAGATCAGAATTGTCACTTGAAATATAAAATCGATTTTTTGGAAATTAAATCACTAGTTCAAAGTTCAAACTTTGTTCCATAAATCACTAGTTCAAAGTTCAAACTTTGTTCCAAAAATAAAGTAGGAAAAATCTTAATTTTTGGGGTTAGAATCAACGAAAATTGATTAAAAAATAATAATAAAACGGACTTTTCAAAAATGAAAAATATTATTTCAAGATCGGATTTTTTTTAATTGAAATCAATACAATTTGAAAATTTCATTCCAATTTCCACCGTCAGATTCAAGAAACATAGAATTATTACGTTTCTTTGAAAAAAACAGTGCAATTTAGGGATGGAAATTTCGGGCTCCCCGGCCCGAACCCAAACCCGACTCACAAAGATTTTTGAAAGGGTCATTCCAATGGTAAACCTCATTGTCATTCATAGTGCGACCAATCTCAATTTAACCGATATAAAAAACGACCAATAATTAACTTAAAAGATTAATAACAATTGCCCATTAACAAAAGATTAACGAAAAAATGTCCAACCTAAATTTTGCCGTCCACATATTTAAGCATATAATAAAACCCTCGTCAACAAAGCTAAGTGATTCGAGCAATGAGGTAATTAAGCCCTCAATTATTGGCTTAACCCCCAATTTGCAAATACACTAATCACATCTCCTAATCACAAAAAATATTTAAAAAAAAATAAAAAAAAAATCACAATCAAAGTGGGAAATGAGACAACCCTCCAAACAATCTTTAATTGGATAAATCTCGATTGGTGGGCCCGGGTTTTTTCTACAACACCCCCCCAACATTAATTTAATCGAAAAAGATTCAATCTTTGAAACGGATAGAATGAATAAATAAAGAATCAATCTTTGAAAACAAACTGACAAACCAAAGGGGTGATACAAGCAAAGCTTACCACCCTCATTTGAATCCACGTCAACTCTCATTACTAAATTGCTTGCTGCCTTTTTTTTTTTTTTAATTATTATTATATATTTTATTTTTTTCCATTTTGTTTTCGCTTTTTTATTTCATGCAAACTGCCACAAAGAATAAATATGCCAAGAAAATATAGATACATTATATATATAGATCATGTATATAATATAGATATATACTTACATCACGCCCCACCAACTCTTGTTTTTTTAATTTTTATTTTCTTATTATTTCTTCCCCCTTTCCTTTTCTTCTCCTTTTTATTACACTTGTTGTTGTGTGTAAATGATTGGAATCTGAATCAAAGTGCATATTCCTTGAGATTTATGTTTCCTATTTTTTGGTGGGTTTTTATTAAGGTAGAGGAATAAGTAAAATTTTCTTGATGGGAGATAGTGAGAGCTGCAGCAGCCGGCAATCGGAGTGGTCGCCGGCGCCGGTTCAAAGCCGGAAAAGAAGACAGAAAGTTGAGGTTTTTAATGATGTTTTGGATAAACTCAGGGAATTGGATATTGAAGAAGCTGCTGAACCCGGTTTTGAAGATGAGCTCTGGGCTCACTTTAGCATGCTCCCTCTTCGGTAATTTATTCATTTATTTTTTTTTATAATTTTTTTTTTTTTGCGAAATTATGTTATTTTTTAGCTACCCTTTTGATTAATTAGAGATGGGAAAATGGTAAAAGGGTGTTTCTCTTTATCAATTTTATGTATGAGTGCCCCAAAATTCAAGAATTGGGGAGAAAGAATTCAAGAATTTTGGTTTGAATTAACATGAAGGAACATAAGTTAATTGAGTTGGTGTACCGATTGATTGATCGAACGTCTATACTTACATGTTCTTAGTCGACAAAATATGTGTTTTCCATTGCGGCTTTCGTGTCGATTTTGCTTTTTATATAACCGTTCGATGAATTTTGGTGCTTTGATTTTAGTAAGGATGATATCGATATGAAGTAGCTCTTAGTTTTGTGTGTGACCGATATTCGTATGGATGTTAGTATAATAAAAAAAAACGGTGATTTTGCTGATACCGTAGTTATGCGTTGGATGTTAATACCGAACGAGCGGAGGATGTTTTATTGCACAAGAAATTATTGAATATGGCTCGAGATCCTCTCACTACACCTGCAGTTGATGTTCGCCTCGTGCAGGTATATATATTCCTAGGAATATTTGTAAAATCGAGATTTAAACAAATTATCATAAGATGTTGTTTTTAATTTTGAGTTTTCTGATGCAGCATCGGCCCGCCTGCGATGGAAATTCCGTACATTCGAGCTTCAATAAAGGAGACGAATTAGAGACGAATAGGTACATAATCGGGGCGTTATTACACTAAATATTTTTTTTAATGTTTTTTCTTGATTTTTTTTCGATCTACAGCCTTCAACTGCCGCCTGCATTTGGCCTGTCATCGAATTACGAGAATACCCTCGATGGAAATGAATCCGATGGTCAAGATGGTAAATCACAAAATATGCGGTAATATTCTGAAAGGTTTGAACCAGTTGAGCTTTCTCTTTAGTTCCCAAAATAGTTTTGGGGGTTTCAGCGTAATTAAAGTGAAATATTGGGGGTGGATCATCAATTAATCTTTGTTGTTGTTTCTGATTGTTTTTAGGCCATTGCATGAAGTAACAATTTCAACGAAAGACAAACCGAAGCTCCTTAGCGAGGTAATTATTAATAATTTAATATACTACCTCTTCGGTTTTTTTGGAGTTGTAAACAATTGTTGGAGAAAAGGTAATTATTAATTATTAATTATTATATTTAATTAAATTTTCAGTTGACTTGCCTTATGTCTGAAAATGGGCTGAATATTCAAGAAGCGCATGCCTTTTGCTCTCTCGATGGTTATTCGTTGGATGTGTTTGTCGTTGATAGCTGGGAAAAGGTACATTCTGTTTTTTTTCTTCTTTTTTTAATGTCGAATTATCGATAAATAATTGTACAGTATCTCGATTTTACATTTGTAGCAAATTGTTGATTTGCATTCGTACTGCAAAATTTTTAGGGGATTGGCCATCTCAGAAATACACTGGTGAAGGAAATTTCGAATATTGAGGTACCGAAATTAAAAAAAAAAACATAAACATGTGTAGAGATCATCACTTCCGTTTTTCCCTTTTTATTTTTTTATTTTTTTAATATTTTTTATTATGAAAATTATATATTGCTGCAGAAGAAGTCGGTTTCTAAACAGGGTCGGAGTGGTTTTGTGTTGCCACCGAGCCATGTGGAAATTCCGTACGACGGAAGTGATGTATGGGAAATCGATGCCAGTTTGTTGACTTTTGAATACAAGATTGCTTCTGGGTCAAACGGAGACTTGTGAGTTCCGTATATCGTGGTTATGATTGATTTTAGTAACCAGTTTGACGAAGTCATTTAAATATATATATAATATAATATAATATATATATGAATAAGCGCAGGTACAAAGGTTTATACCGCAGTCAAGATGTGGCGGTCAAGGTTTTTAAGACCGAGGGCCTAAATGGAGAAATGCAGCAAGAGTTTACTCAAGAAGTCTACATATTGCGGTTAGATTCTTACTCGTGTTTTTCTTGATTATATTTCCGTGGTTCGTGTGTGTGTTTGTTTTATTTGATTTTTTCGAGAAAAAGTATAATTTCAAAAAAAATAAAAAATCATGCGTGGTTTTTGATGTCTTTCTAAAATTCAGAAAAGTACGGCACAAAAATGTGATACAGTTCATCGGTGCATGTACAAGACCTCCTCTCTTATGCATCGTTACTGGTAATATCCTATTCTTTTTGTTCAACGAGCCATATTCTACCACCTATGTAGATTATTAATTTTATTTATTTATTTAATTTTTTTTCAGAATTTATGTCGGGTGGAAGTGTGTACGATTTCCTGCACAAAAAGAAAGGTATTTTCAAGCTACCAGCCATACTAAAGGTTGCAGTTGATGTGTCAAAAGGAATGAGCTACTTGCACGAAAATAATATTATTCACCGCGACCTAAAAGCCGCAAACCTTTTGATGGATGAAAACGAAGTAAGAAATTTAAATATTTTAAATAAATACGTGTATATAAATACATCTTTTTTATCGATCGAGTCATAAGAAATTATTCCAATGCAGGTGGTTAAAATTGCTGATTTCGGTATCGCTCGTGTGCAACTTCAGTCGGGAATTATGACCGCAGAAACCGGAACTTACCGTTGGATGGCTCCCGAGGTTTTTTTTTTTTTTTGGTCTTTTTTTCTTTATAGTTGGGTGTTGGGGGGCCATGGCCCCCACATTGCTTCTAGTATTTTATATAGAAATTTATTATTTTTTCAATACCTAACTTGTGCTTATTCTTTTTGTCGAATGTAAGGTTATTGAGCACAAGCCGTATAATCATAAAGCCGATGTATTCAGCTTCGGAGTTGTGCTGTGGGAGCTTCTAACTGGAAAGGTAGTGTATTATGTGGCGAACTAATTAATTCCACCCCCATTATTTATTCATCATTTTTTTGAGTAATTATTTACGATTATTGTATGAAAAAACGAGCAGCATATTATATTCATATTATCACTTAAATTGATTTTTCCACAGATTCCATACGCATACTTGACCCCGTTGCAAGCAGCAGTAGGAGTTGTTCAGAAGGTAAGTGCCCGTTTAAAGATTGGATTTTTAGTTAGTTATTTATTTATTTCTTATATTTTTTATTAAGCTAAATGATTTTTCCGATTTTTTTTATTTTTTATTTTTTATTTCTAATATTTGAAAATGAAATAAAAGGGACTAAGGCCATCGATACCAAGGCACACTCATCCATTAGTGGTGGAATTGCTCGAAAAGTGCTGGCAGCAAGAACCATCTTTAAGGCCCGAATTTTCCGAAATTATAGAAATACTACAACACATGGCCAAAAAGGTAAAAACCCTACTCCCGTTTTTTACCCTTTTTCTCGATATTTGAAAAAAAAAATCATGTTTTAAATTTATTATTATCTAAAAAAAAACAGATTTTCGAAGAAGAAAGGGTTGCCAAAAAGAGAAATTTGGGAGAACCGTGTCAGATCAAAGAGGAATGGCCGATGAAGATAGAAAACGAAAATGCTGTTTAATGTTTAAAGTCAACTATGCATCGTTGACTACTCTTGCTCGGAAAAAAAATCGATAATGGAGGAGGCTGAGAGGGCATAAAGGTAAGTTAAGAAAGATACGGTTCTTGGTTGCAGCCCGAAGCCCGAAAAGAAAGAAAGCCCAAGCTCACAAGATCAACTTTTCTGAAGTGAACTTCTAACATACTATAATTTATATACTATTACAGTTTCCTTTTTTTTTTTTTTGTTTGATAAGATGTAAGTTATAAGTGAAGTTATGAACAAAGTATGTATATATGTTTTGATTGCATGAATTGGAGTTTTGAGTTTTTGTATGTTTAAGATCAATTTTGGTCCTCTAACTATGCTTCAATTTCGATTTTGATGCTCCATACTTCAATTTCATCAAATTAAGTCCTCAATGTTTTAACTTTTTTTAATCACTTTTAGTCCCTTTAGCTAACACGGTATTTAGATAGATGGAATTTATGCTATACTTGGTGAAGGTTACACTAGATGAATTTTTACCGTTGATTTACACAAATCAATGATCGACTAATTCGATAATCCTAGCTTCATAAAAAATAGGGTTAATGAGATATAACCCCCTCATTAGGAAAAATATTAGGACTAATCACCTTACATTATTTTTAATGGGTCAAACCCCCTCACAATTAACAATTACTGAACTACCCCCATAATTTCTAATAGCAATGACCCCCCCCCACTATTTTTCCTAAAGCTGCATATCTTGATCCGTTTCATCAAAATAATTTCTCCTCAATTTCCGCTATGGTGCTATATTTGTGCCAAGAAAATCGCAAAAAAAAAAATCTGCAAATATATCGGATCATTCCCAGTCGCAACAATGCCCTAGTTTGCTACATTTTTTCAAAAAAAAAAAAAAACAACAAATAACATTTGTGTGAGAATCGTTGAGAAATACAAGTCAACAACAATGGCGAAAGGTAGCAAGAAGAAGACAGGTAGTTTCCACATGATTTCTGTTTTTGACACCCTCTTCACCGACTCCGAAGGACAAAATCGAACTCTCCTACAGAAACGATATGCAACGGTACGCGACGACCATATGCGACGGTTCAGAATTCTTCCATGGTTGATTACTTAAAAATGGAGTTTGTAAACACGATTGTTTTTTAGATCTACAGATCAATGGTCACACTATTTGTTGACTCATAAATATTTGTTTTCTATGAAATTTGTTTTATCAGAGTCCAAAACAAAGAAAAAATCAGTTTTGTCGAAAACATAAAATATTGTAGTCATTTACACTCAGAGTCAACTATAAAATCGGGTAGTTCACTATATTTCCCAAAGTCAACTATAAAAATTAGATAATCAACTATAATTTTTGCGATGTCAATTATAAAAAAATGGTAGTTAACTATATTGTTGCCAGAGTCAACTACAAAAATTAGATAGTCAACTATAATTGTTCAAATGTCAACTAATGAAAAATTGGTAGTCAACTATAATTTTTCCATTAATTCACCATTTTTCAATTTAAGATACTATGGTGTTATAAAATTGAATACTCATGATAAAAATCTCATCTTCATGAAAACATGAATTTCAGAGAGTAGAAAATAAATTGATTTCAACGGCCAAAAAATGAGATATAGAAGAAAATGTACAGTAGTGAGAAGAAATACAGGAAAAAAAAAATGAAACAGAAACAGACGAGAAGAGACGAAATGAGGGAAGAGAAAGAAGAGAGAGAAGAGAGAGAGAGTTAGAGAGAGAAAGAGAGGAGAGAGGGAGAAAAAGAAGAAAAGAAAAAGAGAAAAGAGGAAAGTGGGGATGAGAGAGAAGAGAGAGAAAATAAGAAGAATAAAAGAACACGCCAATAATTGAGGAAAATAAGGAAGAGAGAGAAATTAATGGAGAATATAAAATGATGGATATGAGAAAAATAAAGAGAAGAGAGAGAAAGTTGGAGAAAAATATGGGCATAATGGACATTAACGTAAGAAAATATTAAATGAATTTATCTACTATATTATTTTACCTAACGAGAGGGTTATCCCTCATTTTCCTTAAAAAATATTAAGATGTAAGAAC